GCCGAGTATGTCAGTCCTATTCCAAGCATTTTTTTCTTAAATTCTGTCAGAATTAAATAATGCTTAGGAATTACAACCTATCTATTATTAAATGATGAATAATTATGGTTACCTGGAATAGCTTCATGTGCTGTCAAAATCACACTTATAATAGGATTCTTAGCTCCTGAAATCTGGTCTGTCTCCTTGGCTGACAGAGTTTTCTCAGTTTTCGGTACCCGTGGCCTCTTTGGAGTTCTCTCGCGCTCATCTTCCTTCCTGTCAAGGTCAACGTCAGAATCATTACCTAAAGAGCAAACATCAAAAAGAACATAACTATGTACAAGTGAAATGTAGTTACATACTTGCTAATACTATGGAAAGACTGGGGAGATGCTTAATGCGGTTGCAAGAAAAGAGATTTGTTTGTAAAACTGAGGCAGTGCTGTAACAATTTGTTTTATCCCTTAATGAAACGGTTGGTAATATTTTCTGGCAGCAGGCTGGAAGTTAAGGCAGGCTGGTACTAGGACCCACCTCCACTACTATTTCTCTGCCACCTGACTTTATCGCTAATGTATGAACCACAGTAACTCCCCCAAAACTGGGGGAAATCAGGGAGTATCTGTGCCATGAAGAGCAGATTAAAAATAACAGGTTGGATTTGCAAAAAACACATAAAAGTGCATTCCCCTCTGAGTCACTTGTATTCCTAAATCACTCAGGAACTTTTCAAAATCCCTCCCAAAGGTTTTGCGGCTTGAAATGGTTTCCTCATTGCAACTGAAGCCCCCTTTTCCTCTTTCTCTCCATAACTGCATGGATGGCCTTTGGGAAATTTCTCTTAAGAGCCAATTTACTACCATTCAATCATCTTCGGACCAGGCCCTTTTGGACTATAGCAACAGTTATTCAATCAATAGCCAATATAACAACTTTCTCTTCCACTGCTAATTTATTAGTTTTAGAAATAGCCACAAGGCCCTGGACGTTATTCTGGTAACTTTCTACTGAACACTGATTAGCCAAACATTAATGTCTTCTACTTCATTTTACATACACCTCAAAACATGAGAGTACACAGGAGTGCATATCCTTCCCTAGCAACTAGGGATACTCTACTTAAAGCAATAGTTGCTAAGAAAATGTACCTGTCCCAAACTGGGATTAGAGTCCTAAAGCAATTATTACAAGTACATCAAGTAGTTAAATTGATAGCAACTTGATACATTTTCAGAGAAAAACCTATTTTTTTTTATACAGTGACAGTGCCCAGGTGCCCATTTATAGACCAAACACGAAATGAGCCATTATTGAACTTGTCTCCATTTTTAAGTCTCTTTATTTTGAATATTTGCAACTGTTTTGTCTTCTACCATTTTGTCTGGTCTCTATACAGGCAATCCCCGCTTAGCACTCTTAATTGGTTTAAAAAAAAACCTGAGTGTTAAGTGAAACGAACATTAAGCAAAACCGAAAGTATTTGACAACCCAAGATGGCGACTGCAATTGTTTTTAATGACCCAAGATGGAGACTGCGAGCATTATAACGAAACTCGCTGAGTGCTAAGTGAAATCAGGTATCAATTTCAAATAAGCGTTAAAGCGAAATAGCACTAAATGAAGCAGCATTAAGTGGGGGTTGCCTGTATAGTTGGTCACTGTTCTTCTGCATTTTAACATAGCAAGGAAAAAGGAGAACAAGTACACCATGCACCACACAGGGAAATGCAATTGAGAAACCTCAGGGTTCACAGGAAACTCAGCCAAAGATAAGTATACTCAAAAGAAGTGATTTTCCTCTGTTGTTACACTTCTATATTACTTGGGTTCATTACTCTATTGGTTGTAAGTGGCACTTTCTTTTCAGGTATGAGCAGGACATTATTCCCTTATCACATCACATTTCTCTAAGACTAGGTCTGTATGGTAAATTTGCTGTCCCTGGCAGTGCCCTCAAGCACACTATACTACTCTGGGTAGGCTGCTTTCTAAGCTAGACATGGTATATTAGCTGCCATACAGGCAGCCACATTAGCTTGGGGGGCAGGCAAACTGGCACTGTTACTCGGCAGTGCTAATTCATTCAGGGTAAAGAGGCTGTGTATGTGCCTGAGCCTTTTAACAGAATTAGCTGGATGGGGAAAGGCTGAAATACTTGATTAAGGGTAAGAGGCTGATTACTAGCAGCACAACTGCAGAGCTGTGATGGTTACGGAGTCGGGGACAGCTGTCCCTAACGCCCCTCCTTCATAGTATGAGAAGAGCGAGAGCCAGCTGGGGGACAGCTGAAATAGCTGGGAGTCCACTGACTTCTGGGGCTCACTAAAATTTAATTTAAAGTCACTGAACTTCCTTTCACCTTATGGGGGCTTTTGAAGAAGGGGACATTACTTGACGAGTGTCTTTTAGGTGAAATACTTTTCTTCAGCTTCCTTCATTTCCTGCTAAAGCAATATAGGAAGTTCCCATTCAAATTCAGTATGCTCTATGTAGAAGTGGCAAGAGAAGGCCAATAAAAAAGGTCAGAAGTTTCCAGCACAGGTTTTCCTTGTATCATATGAAGTGGTAGAAAATGAAGAATGGAAAGAACTGGGCTGGCAAATAAAGACATTATGCAAATATCCCAACAGCAACAAACAAGAAGGGAAATTGATTTGAAGAAAAAAAATAATATAAATGAACCCAATGAATTTCAGAAATCTTTCTGAATCCAAAAGAACTGATGCATAAACCCCAGAGCAGCCTATATATTCCATATTCATGAACTGTGGTACCTGCTCAACTGAGATAGGAAAACAACATATAAATATAAACTAGCAATATAAAAACCCAGTACGCCAAAAGTTATTTGTTTATTAAATGAAAACTGTGCAAGTGGTTGCAAGATATGCTACGTGCCAACTGTTACCTTTTTATTTTAACAAAATCCTGGTAATATTCCTGCCAAATTCTCAAGCAATCCCATGTTCACTAACCTCTTGCACTCAGGACAATGGAAAATGCATTAATAGTATTTAAATTTCATTTTCTTGACCCAATTTTTGTTCAAGTCAAGGCTACTTACCTATCTATAATCTATGACTAAATGATAGTCTGAAGTTAGGCAGAGGTCAGGGCTGCAGATGGAGCTGGGGCTGGGGACCTCTCTGTGCCTGGATCCCACCACTGTGGGAAGGGAGGGGAAGAGGTGCCAGTTCTGCCTGCAGGGGTCAGGTGGGGCATTCCCGCCGCAGCAGCAAGGCCCCCAGCCCTGTGGTGGACCAGCAGCAGGACCCAGACAAGGCAACGGGCTCGATGCACCTCCTGCTATGCCTGTGCTGCCACGGCCTGAACCAGGAAGGCTCCTCCATGCTGCCGGTGCCCTCCCCAGCTCGCCCCAGAAGAAGGGGGTCTGGTCCCAGCAGGTTGGCCTCCAATGGGCATGCTGCATCCTTCCCTCTCCCGCCCATGGCGCTGGGGCCACTTGGGGCCTGGCCCAGCCCTTTAGGCAGGGCTCAGTGCACAGGTAGCTTGGCCCAAGGAGTTGCTGCTGCAGCTGCAGCAGGCAGCACCCAGGTTCATGGTGAAGACATAAGGGACTGGGGCCATTCCTGATGGAGGTCACTAAATGGTAAACTGTAAGCAGTAAATGGCATAAGTTAATGCAATTGAAGTACGTCATTTAACCATTTAAAACCCTATTGGTAACGTGTGCATGACTAACCAACCAACTATACAAACATTCCCACGTGGGATGTGCTGAGAATAAAACTGTCTCATCACCGTATCCATTGGTGCACTCTCTCCCCTACAGATGCCCTTGCTATTGTTCTGGGAACATTCTGAGGAAAAGGCTATAAAAGGGACCATGATGCTCTGGTCATCTCAGTTCTTCCCCTCAAGCCCCAAATTGCAATTAGGGCTCTGAGAAATGGGGTAAGGAGGCAGAAAATATGAAGGTGCAAATCCCCAAACTCAGGAACAGAGAGTAACTTTCATTTCTCTTCTAGATGGCCTCTACATAGTCCCACTAATGGGATCGTTTTATAAGTAGTACCACCATTTCCAGATGATACCCTAATTGAATAATGGTTGCCTTGTCTAAACCTGCTTTGGCCATGCTGCCATCAAAAGTCTTCCCAGCCCAGCTTTACTCCCTCCTCTGGGTGGCTGGGAGCAGAAACATGCACACTGTCATAGCTGCTCCTTGCAGTGGTTCTGGGGCTCCTCCTGCACCCAGAACAGCCAGGGATAGCAATAGAAGCGGGGCAGCAGGAACAGGGAGGGATAACTGATGGAGAGGCAGGCACCAGGGGGGACACAGGGTGAGGATCAGGCTACCTGCTCCCCATGCTGCCTGTCTCCCTGCTTTCCCTGCCTCTGCTTTTCCCACTGCCTGCACCGCTATCTCAACTACCTCCCTACCTGGCCCCCCTCACCTCTGCTTCTCCACTGCTTGCCCCCCCCAGCCTTACTGTTTTCCTGCCATAGCAACGGGGGAGACACATTTAAAACAGTCCCCCAATAATTACATTCTAGAGATGGAAAATCATTACAAATATTTAATTTTCCATGTCTAGAAACTAATTATTGTGTTTAATTTGAAGTCATCCTGGATTCGGGTAAATACTGTAGCTTAGTTTCCAAAAAAAATTAATTGCTTTTTTAATGTAGGAAAGCCTGCACTCAAAGAGCAACTTAACATTGAACGTCATTGGATGGATAAAGAAGAATTAACTGTTTACCTTTAGCAGGAACTGCTTATAAAACATTGATCAAACAAGAATGCGACACCAGAGGTAATAGATATATTTGGAAATGTAAAAAAGGAGAGTTTTCCAAAGCTGTTATCAAAGTAGTTATCAGTATAATTGACTCAGTACATTAAATTTAAGTGGGAAGTGTGAACAAAAATTGTGAATTATTCATTAACATCCCACTGGATGCCCAAAACATACAATTCCACCGATATGATAAAAGAAGGCAAAAAGCTGTCCCATTTAGAAGGATATTTAGAAGAAGTGTACACACACTTCAATTTTTAAAAATGGAAGAATAGGGAAGTAAGCGACAGCGAATAAAAGTTGAAAGTTTTAAGAAGTTCGCAACTGATAAGGGAGTCTACAGAAATCAAATACCAATAGTTAATGTTGATAAAGATAAGGTGATTTTTATATATATTAGGAAAAAATCTCTAGGTCCATAACTAGATGTAGTTGGTAAATTCATAAAAACTAAAGGAGGCAGAAATGTTCAATAGACACTTCCATAAACAACGTGTGCAGGGAGTTTGTGGGGGGGTACCACTCTGTGCCACCGATGCCA